CAATCATGGTGTCTTCTGCAGCATGGAAGATGCAGTGTATTGTAGAAAATTGGAATGGCTAGGAAATGCAGGGCTGAAACACCCCGGGACCAAGCTGCTGCTCTGAGATGATGTGTTACCATGTGAGAGGTAATGCCCAGCCAGCCAGAATGCATTGCTGAGCAAATATCCCCTTCAACAAAAAAAAACAAAACCAAGGCTCAGCCCTAAATGTCTAAGGTCCAGGCTTCCCACATTTAAATCCAGCCTCTGTCCCCTCTGTGCTAGGCCTGTACTAAATGGCTCAGTAACATCAATCAGTTGTACTGCGATTAGAAGCTGGGGGTAGATGGAGCTCCCCGTTACGTAACATCCTAGGTAAGGTACAGAATTGGCTATACTGTCCACCATCGCTGGTCTCAGCGATTCACCCTTGCTAAACTGAACAGCTGTGGATGCAGTAAGTGTAGATGGGGACCCTGAATGGCAGCTGGCATGTCGTCATTCTGCCCTTTGGTGGCTGCCTTACCTCACTGCCTGCTGGTGATATTGCTGTTGCAGAACTTGAAGGACTCCATACTATCACCACTAGAGGAAATGTATCAACGTTAGCTGCCAACATGAATTATCTTGGCAAGAAGAAAGTGGTTTCTGCTCTGGGGATCTGGCCGTGACAAAGTCAGGAGCCGTTTGCCAGGGGTGCCAGGGCTTTTATGTTCTCATTTCCAAGTGCAAAGCAACTGTAGTGAACGCTAAATCCATTCTGAGGGACTATCTCGCTCTTTGGAGGTTGCTGCTTGTGGGGAAGTATTGGGGTTTGATGCTTTCTGCCTTCAGTCGAGTTTCCCCTGTTCTCTGTTACAGACCGTTGGGAACGCTGCCTCTGCTAATGGGATCCATCAGCAGGATAAGTCCCACAAGCAAGAAGTAGGTTATGCAGTGCCATTAAAATATATCTGTACCTCTCCATGCATGATCTATTCTGTAGGACCCCCCACCCCCAGTGCTGGTTTCAGGTCTTGGGCTGAGGACACCCATGGGAGCAGAGCTTGTCCATCATGTTGCACAGTGAGAACAATGAGTTTTGCATAACACTTCTCTGCAAGTGTGGGTGAAGCACTTCTCTCCAGCAACTGCAGCTACAGCTGAGCCTGGCCAGGAGGTCAAAGTACAGATGTCAGCCGTCACTGGAGACGTGGCTCACCATGACTCTGGAGTCTCTGCTTACCTTGCAAATGAAAAAGGAATAGAGAAAGCAATTGGTCTTTTCTGTGGGGTTTTGGGTTACTGACTGCGGGTTGCGGGGGAGAGACCCAGATGAGCATTCATATCCCCTTCTCTCTTTCTCTCTCATTCTCTTCCCCCCTGCCTTTGAGCATGAGTTTAGACCCTTCTCTAGTTAATCAGTTCTCTCCCCCTTCCCCTCTGAAGCCCGTGGTGTGGTTCAGGATATGCACTGTCCCGGTGACACTCACCCTCCTACCCTCTCGTGCTTTCTCAGGGCTTGGTCTCTGAATTTTGTTTCCTCCCAGGTACCTCAGTCAGACTGGGGGGCAGGAGGCGGTGTGGTCTAGTGTCCAGAGCTCTGGCCTGGGATCTGTAGGATTCCAATTCCATCTCTGTCCCTGGCCTGGTGGGTGACCAGGTCGTTTCACTGCTCGGTGCCTTGGCTTCACAGGGAGAGTGATACCAGCCCTCCTCTGTAAAGTGCTTTGAGATCCTACTAGTGAAAAGAACCTAAGGGTCATTAGTTCAGATCGTGGCCGTTCTCCCTTGGTTGTAGATAACTTGCAGCAATCCCTCCATTTCCAGCTCCCTCTTTGAGGCAAAAAAGCTTGTGAGCTATTATAATACCCCTGACCTCTCCTGACCACTTTCTCCTCTAACACAATCTCCTTTCTTCCAGGAGAAGCTCTGATAGAGAAGGGGGCGGAGAGGACCATTTCATGCCAGTATCATCTCCTGTGCACGGACAGGACAAGGGATGCCACATCTGGCTCAAGCACCTCCTAAGGACCAGTCACAGTATTTTTACTTTACAGACAGGACAGTGCTTATAATGTACTAACTGACTCAAGTAGGACAATCCCCTGATCCAAATTTTTCAAGACGAGCATCATTCCAGAATGGGGCATGGGGATGTCCCTGTGTAAAGGTACCTTTGTTTTGGTTTCTTATGGTTCGGACTGTGGAATCGGCATTGGCCGAAGGAGACCAGTGCTGTTAGTCCCACCTGGATGGCATGGCCTGGCTGACAGCTGACTGACGTGGTGGCTGGAACATCACTGGTGACTCCTTGTAACCCCAGAGGAACAGTGAAGGGATTTGCTTGTGGCACTAAGAAACTCCTGAGCATAGTCGCATGGGCTGCGCGCACACCAGTTGTCTCTCTCCGCCTCTTCCACCCACCCCCATATTCTGAAGAACTACACAGGTGAGGGAAAACCCCAGGGCTGAGTCCACTCCCACCGAAGAAAAAGAGCTAGTGGGGAACGCTGCTGCCTCTCCTGCATGGAAGATGCTTTGACTCCAGACCATAGAGACTGCTTTATTTTTCCTGATGGTGTGTCGTGCTCAACCTGATTTGAGGAGACGCTGAATTCAGTCCAGGTCGCTAGCTGCTGTCTAGGAGTCGGTGTTTATGAGGGGAGAGTGCCTCTCTCAGCTTTGCTTAGTCTATCTCTGCACCGAGAGGTCCCTTAGCAGGGCCCAGAGGCAGGAGCGCAGTGGTGCATGGGTGTGCTGGGTGCTCTTTAGACGTGCAATGCAAAGCTTCCTTCCCTCTGGCAAGCAGCGACTTGATTCAGTCTGCTGAACTGCATGGCAGGAAATTCCCTACACGTCCACTGATCTGAGGACATGTGTTGGGCGTAGTCATGTCAAGCAGACATCTCAAACCCCTTTCCTTCTACTATCCACGCAACTCCAACCAATACATATAAGGACAGGGCTTGCATAATATTAAGTTAAATTTGTGTGTCCCCCAACCATCCCCCATAGCTGGTTTAGGCCCTTCAGCAAAGTCTTCCCAGGAGTTCAGAGGAAAGGACAGGCCTTGTGCTGCTGGAGCCTTCTTGCCAAGGGTGTATTGTGTCTAAAGGCCTTGAACCCAAGGCCCTGCGTAGAGCAGTTCTCCAGCTGTGACTGATTTCTGTTCTTCCCCATATCTGCCGGTCACATCAAATTCTCTCTCCTTGACGCAGTGGGAGGTCTGGGCTGCTGGATTGTGCCCCACAAGATGCATTGAGAATCAGTGTTACTGTAAGGGCCTCTAGGACCCTGCAAGCCCAGCTGAGTTTCCAGGTTGGCACATGGTACCCACTGCGATCACGTGTGCAGAGAACTAGTTATGTGCGGATCCATTTGCACGCGTCTCAGTAAGCGTTTGAGCCTTGCACGGGGGGTGAATACATTCCAAGGGCTATATTCTAGTTTCATTCTTTGCACTAACCTCCCACTGGACTCGGGTGGAATGAGGGTAAAATATGGTCCAAAGTGTTTAAGACAAAGCTTCCCTATTCTCGGCAAATCCAAGGGAGCACTCGTCATTCAGTGCTTTGGAAACCCAGTGAGCGGCACTTAGTCTTGATTCTTCCAGATCCCCAGTGTTTCAGTAGGATGGGAATAGCTATGAGCAGAGGCAGGGCATGCACTGATGCAGCACAACAGCAAGGGAGAAGCTAATTCGTAATGGGAAATCTCCTGGCTCCCCTGGGTGATCTTTAGGTTTGCCAACAGAGCTATGGTGGCAGAGTCACTTAGTGGAGATTGGTGTAGCAGCAAAAGGGTGTGCGGGCTGTTACGCTATCTTCCCAAATGACAGAATTCAAGTTGAGGACAGGCCTTTTCTGTCAGCTTAGCAGTGCCCACCCCAAGGGCTTTGTGGGCACAACGGTATCAGTTTGGGGACTCAATTTCTTCCCCTCAGGAAGCCAGCATAGCTCAGCTGGCAAAATGTTATGGTGTAGGCTAAGCCATAGAAAGCAACAGCTCTTCTTGTTCCTCTTTTCGCCCAACTTTATGGAATCAGCAGGGGAAGAGCTTGGTTGGAGGTGCACATTTCTAGTTGTTTCCCATTTCTCTGGCATGGCAGCGTTTTGGCCACCTTTTCTTGTAGTGCAACAAATGATGCAAGCCTCCCGATCAGTTTGGCTCCTTCTCCATGTTGTTTTCTGACCTTCCTGGAACATCTGGATCAAAATCTCTTCTTTTCCAGCTTCAAACCTCTACTCTGTGTGCACTGCTTGTTCAGTGCATGGGATCCCTGTAATGGGATGGGGATCCCAGCAGGGCATATGGAGAGGAAGCCCGGCATAGAGAGCAAGTCTGGTGTAGTCCTGAGTTCGGGGGCGAAGCACCGTTCCACTGGCTCCCTACAGAGCTGTGCCATTTTACTCGGGCTGGGAACATCAATCTTCCTTTCCCTGTACAATTTTCTTCAGCCTGTTTCTGGCAATTGCTGCTGAAGAATTTAAGAAAAGTGCTGGGCAGCGATTGGGAAAGGTCAGAGCCTCACGGTTGCCCTCACTCGGGTGGTCACTGAGTCTCTTGCTGGGCTGTGAGACAGACCTGGGCTGCCTTTGCCTGCTGGGATATCAGCTGAAATGGGGGTTGAGATGAGAAGGGGTATCGGGGAGCTGAGATGCAGCCTCCACTTGGGGAACAAATGGGGTGGGTGAGCAAAGAAGAATTAAGGTAAGGTTGAGATCCTGTCTAATCAAGGAGTCTAAGAAATGCCAGGCAGTTGCAGAGAAGATTAGCACACGAGCTGTTCTCTAACGCTTGTATTTTCAGAGCCCAGGGGGCATAGGAACCAAAACTGCACTGACCCCCAATCCATCATCTGAGAAATCCCAGGGTGACAGTGTTTAGTATCATGCCAAGAATAATGAACAAGCCGGAGCTAACTGCCACGTTGAGACGGCATTTTTCAAAGAACTCGGGACTGGCCTTACTCTGCCCACTGAAGTCGGGGCAAAACTCCCGGGGACTTGAGCAGAGTCGGGACAGGACTGAGTGTTTCTGCAAATGGCTCCCAGAGGTTTGAGACCAGGCCTGGGAAAGACTATTCTGACACGTGCGCACAGAGGGTCCTGGCCCTTCCCAAACTGGAGGTTGGGGTCCGTCTCATTGTTTATCTGCTTTCTGGTGAGTTTTCTTGTAGCAGGGGAGTCCTCATCTCTGCATAGCTTCTTGCTCCCCACCCCCAGGTTGGGGACAAAGAGCACAGCGCTCTGCAGTGCCTCTATGGCCTGAAATGCTGGTGGTTTAAATGGGACAGAACTCCACTGAAGCCGGTGGTGTCACCAATTTGCACCATTGGGGAGCTTGGCCATGGGCCCTCAGCCAGGAGCCCCCTCCAGCAGCACCTGAGACGGATGAGTTGCAGGACGTGCAGCAGTTGGCTCTGAATCTTCTCCGGCTGTGAATATTCACGTTGCTCCCCAGGGCATGACTGATCACTGCATCTTCCCTGCGAGTGGAGATTAGCCTCCGGTGGGAAGGCCCAAATGCTTTCACTGGGGAGTAGCGTGCCACCCCTCAAGCTCCGAGTTGGTCCTTTTGAAAGACATTTCTGAGCAAAGGGATCAGCACCCTGGAGTGAGCCAGTTCCCTTGGGACATGGCCAATGCCACCCTGGGCTCTGTGCCAGCCATGTGGCAGGAGGTCTCTGTGTCCTCACCTTGCTCTCCAGCAAGGAGAGACAAACACCCTTGCTCAGCAGAGCTCAGGCAGCAGGAGATGCATGCTTCAGGGGCATGGGCATAAATCCCCACAGTGCCGAGGGCCCACCACAAGGCCTGTCTGAGTATCCTATACAACCTTGTCCCAGCTGCCAGAGACCAAATTAGGGGCAAACCCAGAGGGTAAGAGATTCCCCTCTATTTATTTATAAGCTTATTGCTATATTTGCCTGTTAACCCAGGTATATAAAGGACTTGACAGTCTTTTGTCTCACTGGCAGAGTTACTGGGGGGAGACGGTCAAAGGTGCTGAAAGCTTTTATGCTTCCAGCGCCCTCTGGCAGTCACTAGGGCATGGGAGACTAGCTCCCATCTGTGCCTTTTAAAAACTTGCCCTGACAATAATAGGCTCTTCAGATTCAAGGCAGGGTTTCTCCTGTGACCCCTCCATGGTCTCCGCTGTAGGCTCCGTGTCCGATTCGTGCCTGGTACTGGGTACAGAAGGCCGCTTGGGGATCAGCAGCTGCAGAATGAGTCCGGTGGGAAGGAGCAACTTTCCCCTTCAACCAAGGGTGCTGAGTGCGAGTTATATGCATGCAAGGTCAATGCTGAGCAGTTTTCTGGCCCAGTCAGTGCACCCATCCCAGTCACGGGTGTGGCTTGCGGTGAACCTATATGAACCTTGATCTTGCCTGGTTGAAATTCAGCCTTTCTATCCATTGCATTACTTCACTGGCTGGTAAAAGGGTTTATTGGTTTGGGGTCCCCCCCACCCATGCACACTTTTTGTAGAAATAAAGTCTCCAGGCCAGCTGGGCAATCTGTTCCAGATCAAGATTAGCAATTTCTACCCAGCCCTCCTGGCTAAAGAAAATCCCTAGAGGTGTTTGGGTGGCAATGCTGGCTTTATCCCTTCTTGCCAGGTTCAGAAAACTGGAGCAGACGCACAATACTATGCTAATGCCATACTTAGCTATGGGTGCTAAATTTCTAGCCAAGTCATAACAGCTGCTGCCCACCGCCCCCACCTCTGATCAGTTCCTTTGGCTTTCAGTAGATATGCATGATGGGTTCATTTAAAACAAACCAACAGATGCAAACAGAGCCGTAACAATCTTAACAGAGTTTCCAGTACTGCATTGTCATGGCAGCTTTTAGCAGTTCAACACTATGGCATAGGGAATTATTAATCCACTAAAATCCTATAGGCCTATTGTAAGTTACCAGAATAAAGACGATACTAGATGTATAAATGGATGATAACCTTTTACCCGTACAGTATGTATTACTATTTTGTAGCTTAGTCATTTTTTGGCTATCTGATTTTGTTAGTATGATAAAAAAAAAAAAAAAAAAGAAGAAAATGGTTTGACTGCTAATGTCTATTTTGTTATTTGATTCTTCATTTTTTTTTTCCTTCCTCTGTACAAACTCTGTACAAATCTGAGTCTAAGTGTAACTACTCCAGATATGTATTCATGTACCACAGACCCCACCCCTGGCTTGCTAAAGTGTGGTGAGCTCATCCTAAAATAATAAAACGTGTGGCTAAAGTCGGGCACCACAGTATGCTGCTATCCCTTCTCTTCCATCCAGCAGGGCACAGGCCCAGGCGGCGGTGATGACCCTTGGAGATGCCGTTTGCTTGCTGGTAATGGGAAGTTTCTCCCCTAGTTAGTGGGTGAACCACAGTGAGCACTGGAAAATGGTGAACATACACACAGAGCGGTAGGCCTGGTAACCAAAGCCACCAATTTCAGAGTCAAATTCAAGTGGAAGAATTTATGGGCTTGAGCACTGAGATACTGGATGAGGCTTCATGGCTTGTCCCATGAAGCCTCCCGCTGTGGAGGTTTTTCTACGCAGCTGCAGGAGATTAAACAGACTGATCCCTTCTTGATGTACCGATTCCTTCCATGTCGTTGGATAGTATTGCCCTGTCCTCCTGCTGACCTGAACAGCAGAGCTGCTCTTGGTGTTGGTGAGAGCAGCCGTGAGTCCTGCAGGAGAGCAACCTACTGCAGTAAGGTCACAAAAAGCAGGTATGTTGAAGAAGGGGGTACTGGAGGAGGGTATTGCCAGACCCGCACTGCAGTGTGATGCGCCATCATGAACAGGTGTGACCGAGTGATCTCAGGCCTATCTCTAAGCTTGCAGAAGCACAGCAGGCACCACACACTGGCCAAAAGTCTTGGGTTCTTTGTAGTAGGACAGCGATTTATCCTGCTGCTTTCTGCTCTGTGGGGAGAAGCTTCCCTTTTCCAGAGCTGTCAACCCAGCGCCTCTCCCAAGCGCTCAGTCGACTTGTAATTGTTTTTAATGTTCTCGAAATATGCGTGATGAGAGTGGGGAGTGAATTGCAGCAGCCACCTGTCGCTAATCTGGCCTCACTTCTTATGAAAATCAGGCTTAATGGCTCTCAAGCCTCCTAGATGCTAATGTTCATGTTAATATATGTTTAATCAAAGGCCTCTATAGGAACTAAGTGAGGGAATAAATGCATAGAGATCAAATGGAGATTGCTCTGGATTGGTAGCTGTAAATCAGTCCAGGATGCAAGTGTAACAACTGAAGGATGGGGGGAATCCAATGCTGCCTATGGTGGCAGGTGCCCTTAAATGTGAGAATTAGGAGAGTTGCTAAACTATGGGCCCAGGCACCATTTCTGTCTGCTGCCAGACTAGGCAAGACTCTATCTTTGCGGAAAGGCGCAGCAGCCACGGCTGAGTTCAGTTTTCTTGGCCTTGGGCTCTGGACTGGAAACTGGTACCCCCAGGGTGGGCTATGGTAGAAA